AACTGAAGAGTAGCCACTGAAGCTACAAAACCTGTATCAGATGAACAAATACTTCTTTAAATATCATTCTTTTTTGAAATAAACTTTTAATTAATTCATATACAAAGATGTATTAAGAGACAGATTTCATCATTATTATTCTTACACGGATATCAGTTAGTTTGTTTGTTTGTTTGTTTGTTTTGAATTTCGCGCAAAGCTACACGAGCATTTAGCGATGTAAGATTAGGGGGAAGACAGCTAGTCATTACCACCCACCGCCAACTCTTGGGCTACTCTTTTACCAACGAATAGTGGGATTGACCGTCACATTATAACGCCCCCACGGCTGAAAGGGCGAGCATGTTTGGTGTGACGGGGATTCGAACCCGCGACCCTCAGCTTGCGAGTCGAACGCCCTAACCATCTGGCCATGCCGGGCCTTTGAAGAAGTGAGACAAAGAATTGTGTTTTTTTCTGTAAAAGTATTAAAAGTATTTATAACCAATAACTTTAATATTACATTGGGTCTTGTCTTCCCGCCTTACCAAGAAACAATGGGCAATACTAATTTCATGTTTGCAAATGTATTTTTGTATTTGAATGCAAATATTAAAAAAATACTTTATAGTCCTCAGTTGGCAATTGCTACGTGTTATCTATATGTATATATTGTAATAATGTGTTCGTCCTAAAATGTCAACAGTCGGCAATTGCTACGTGTTATCTATATGTATACATTGTAAAAATGTGTTCGTCCTAAAATGTCAACAGTCGGCAATTGCTACGTGTTATCTATATGTATACATTGTAATAATGTGTTCGTCCTAAAATGTCAACAGTCGGCAATTGCTACGTGTTATCTATATGTATATATTGTAAAAATGTGTTCGTCCTAAAATGTCAACAGTCGGCAATTGCTACGTGTTATCTATATGTATACATTGTAATAATGTGTTAGTCCTAAAATGTCAACAGGAATGATACAATATGCCATTCCTTCAGATGCAGAAGCTGTAAAAACAGAAGTAAACCTTTCAGCATATTCTGCTTGATACTACATAGGTTATGATTAAGGAGTTAACACACAGAATCACATACAAAAGTTGTAATGGTTTTCAAACGAGACCCAAAACTCGAGCACTTTCGAATATTTCACTATTCTTCTTCATATTCTCCTGAAGAATAGTTAACTATTCGAAAGCGCTTGGGTTTTGGGTTTCGTTTGAAAACCATTACTGTATAAGTTGTTCACATCTGTTGTTAATCTGCAAAGATAGAGCATTTAAAAATTGTACATTTCACACTCAGTATTACATGATGTATCTTAGATTTTAGGTTTTTCTTTAGGACTTTTTAATCTGTTTCAGGAACTGGCTAAAGGGAACTTTCTCTTTGATGACACTTCTTGGACTTACTTGGGTCGTGGGATTTTTCTTCAATACTGAAGCTACAGTTGGTTTTGCTTACCTATTTGTTATAATGAACGGCCTTCAGGTATGTTAGCTTATAGTAGAAATAGCATATAATATGGTATCATAGGCATTGGGGAAGGTAACCCAAGTTTATTGTGCCTTGCAGATCATTATGGAAGATTATATTAATATGTTTTAACTTGCAGGTAATAACTTCAAAATTATTGGTTTCGTATTGTAAATATTGTAAACTTAAAATTGGACATATTCTACTTCTAAATTTAGATATTTTAGGCTTATAATTACATTCTTTTTAATGCTGTCTAGGCCCAAAAATCAAAAGTAAATTTTGAGTTGCAGATTTAACGTTTATCCGTCACTTCATTACGTTTACAGCAATACATAAAGGAATATCAGAATACTAACGTATTTTATCTATATATTTTAATTCTGGCACTATTAACCCTAAGGAAGCTGCAATGTTGAAACGTTGTCTGAAATATAAAAGTTTTTATTTTTATCTGGAGAATAAAGGCTTTTTTTTCTGACTTTGTTACCAAAATATCTAAATAACTCCAGTATGCACTACACCTTTAGAGAAACAACAAAGTATTTATTTCATCATTATTAAACCCGCGTAAATAATTCACAATAATACATAGAGTTTGATGTGAACAAGCATTTTACTTGTTTATTTATCATTTAATTTGGAGTAGGTTTTTCGTGATTTTTCAGCTAAATTTGTTCGGTTTCATACTTTTATGGTTCCAGGTTTATTATCACTGTAGATAAATGTCCGTTTGTTGTTATGCACAAAGCGACACAACAGGTTATCTGTGTTGTGCTCATCATGGCTATCGAAACTCTACTTACTGCTAATTGGGCGCTAACAATACAAATACAAACTTGCCACTTTTTGACATTTTATTTTTTAATTATAGTTATTTTAACAATGTACCTACTAAACAATTGAAAATCCCTTACTATTTAATGTATAATATATATCTTAATACTTATTACAATATTATTATAACATTTGATATATGTAACATATAACATATAATACTTCTTATAATGTTTAATGAACAGTATATTTTATAATATATAATAATTAATGTATAACAGACCATATCAATTAAGAAAGATGGGAATTTTGGGTCGATACATTTCTCTTGGTTTTTAAAAGTTCATAGAAAGATGCAACTTAAATCGTTGAATTGAGCATTGTTTATAGAAGAACCTTGAATAGATTACGGGAGAGCGAAAAGTTTGTGCTAAGGCCAGTGTCAAACTTTTTAAGCATATAATAGTAGTAGAAGTAATAGTGTTGAAATCATCTTATTCAAGTTGAGTTAAAATAATAAATGATATAAGATATAAATCAATAAAAAAGTTACATCATAATATATGAAAGTAATAAGTGTTTGATTTTACCTAGTTGCCTTCTAGTGGACGATGGTGCGGTTTTATAGACGATGACATGTTACCTGGATTGTACATTGTGGGCACTATAATAGGACCTATTATTGGACAGAGGAGAACTTGTGCTTTGGCTAGTGTGGCGTTTAAATCGCTCAATCTAATTAAAATATTTTTGCAAGGCTTTACAAGTTGTTGTGAAGCCATTTTAAAACTCTATTGATAATTGCTTATTTCCACAAAATTAGATTTTTTGTTTGTGTTTTAGAGCGAAGCCACATAGAGCTATCTGTTGTGTCCACTGCGGGAAATCAAACACCTGATTTTAGAATTGTAAGTCCGTAGACTTACCGCTGTCAAATTGGGAGGCTATATGGTTAGGTATAAATTCAATTTCACAGTTACCAAATGCTCAATTATAGGTCTAGATAAGTAAAATGTATCATGTGTTTAGTGTAAGCACCTTGTTGAGTTACTAACTATGTAGGTATAGTGTAGTACCATTATCGTATTTTAGTTTAAAGTACATAATGCGTCATTGTGTTACATATAGTGTTATCAACTACAAATATAGCCCAATATTATTATGTGCTGGTTATAGGTCTAGTGTTTAAGCTTAATCGCATTAGGGTTACTGAGAGTTGTATATAAGTAATGTTACAGAATTATCACTAATGTTGGAGTTAGCTTTGTTTGATTTTTGTACATTTCCCGGGCATCAAGTCTGAGACAGGGACTAATCTATTTATAAGATCAGTCCCAGTTTTAAACCACCTGGAGCCTTGTTGTGTACAACATCAGGAAGAATGAATCTTCAGGATGCATTGGCCACACAACTTAGATCTACAAGCTGCACTAGATTGTACCACAAATATTGGGTAGGTTGAGATTTCATCAGATGGAGAAAACACTTCACCACACTCTGTTACTAGAGATTGAAAACAACAGGGAGATATCCTGTTACCAGTTATAAGCAGGACTTATAGGCATAAGATCCTACACCAGGAAAGCTTCTCAATGATAAGATGATATATTTTTAACCTATTGGCCAGTGTGCATCCATTTCAGGATTAGCAACCCCATTCTGACTAATGGCCCACTATTACTTGCCTGCCTTGTTAGTATGGACAAGGCTAGGAGCAGGAATTCTGAACAGTTAATGTATTGCTTTCAGACAATGATAAATTTAAACAACAGCATCCGTATGGACATCATAAACTCAGTAGGAGACTCGACTGTTAAGGAGCAGAAGGTACCTACTCACATTCAAATCGTATCACTAATGTAGTTCAACCTGACAGCAACACTTACTATGAATAATAGGACAGATTTCGGTGCAAAAAATCACCATTGAGCTACAAACCATTCAGATAGCTCTACCTAGTTACCCACTTGCATCTAAATCACCAATGTGAACATGAAAAATAACATAGCGTCATGCTGAAGAATGGAAGTTCCTGTCTGACAACACTCCTATGTATCTAGCAGTAAAGGACTTTAATACCAGACACCAACCTGGGGGTGCATATGAAAACACTTATGGTAAAGGCTTGCGTTCTGCTCTACACAGTATATCTACTAACATTATGTTGTTAAACTCGGGTGTACCAACAATAATTGCTAAGTGCAAGGTGACAGACACTTCTGTGTATATTGTGACTTTACTAACCCTACCTTGAATGTCACCACTACCATTGCATCAGGAACATAATGTGTTCAACTGTCACCTCTTGTGTGAAGTGCATATGAAAACAGGAAAATAAAGTGTTATAAAACAAAATAGAAATCCATACAAGGAAGTCTAGGTTTCTGTCAGTACTTTTATTCTCAATCATCTCTTCACCATTAAAGCAACATTTTCTTGAAAAAGAACATTCCATAATGGTGAAACAGTGATATTTATAAAAGCTGGAAAGCAAGCAACAAAGCTCTGACTAAGTTCGTGCAGATAAGAAATGACCCAATCTTAGCAGAAGAAGCAAATAATTGACGGAATAGAGCTCATTCCTTCAATATGGGGTTGAAAGGGGGGTCAGTTTTCAAATCCCCCAAAAATTAAATCGAATGAATTATTCAGCAAGGCCACACTCCCAAGCAATCACTATGTGAATTACAACTAGATGCACATACAAAAGTCACCTTTAGTTTGGAGCCAAGAAATACACCTGAAGATGGAGTTGCAGATTTGGATCATTTGAGGATTATAATCTTTAAGATAGTTACAGAAGCCAACTTTTTAATATTAATGTTGGCGTATCAATATAATTGGGCAATAAGTAGCAACCATGAAATATTGAGTAATACCTTTATCAAATCCATACTTCTTAAAGCCCATTGAATTATCATCTTACAAAACATATTTGGCAAAATCCTGGAGAAGGTTGTTGATTGAAGGCTTGCTATTAGATTAAACCAGTATTATTATCTTCATTAGGTGGTTATCAAAGTTTAAGAGAAACGAGGATCAACACTGCTGAATTTGCAGTTAATACATGAAGCTGAGCATAATACCTTAATAAACGTGCAAACATCAAACAAGCAGGAAATTTCTTAAAACGTGCATCAGGAGACAGTAATTGGTAGATAGATGCTATACAGCCACTATTGAGATAATCCATTATCACCAGATTTCAAATGTGCCAATGAGGAACAAAGAGCTGGTGTTATATTTGGATCTGTGGAAATTAACCTAGACAAAAATATAGCAATTAGGCAGAGGGTGAAGCAGAAAAATTCTGTCAGCACCTATTTATAGACCATAATGGATACTCAGCTGTCATCATATCAACAGATGATTCCTACACCACAGATAGCGAGAAAGATAATTGGGCTTTCATTGTGCCAAAGAGCAACAAACTTCTGCATATGACTGGTAGAGCATTTAAACTTTCCACAAGGAGAGTTGGAAGCCATAAGGCTAGCTGAGACCAATGCACTGAAAATACACATAGCAACCAACATAGTATTTGTGACTAAATCGCAGGCAGTGCTGCATATAATTCATATTAGTAAATAGATGAATGGCAGAAAGTTTGGAATGTTTGGAATTCTGCACAAAGCTATTCGAGGGTTATCCGCAATAGCCATTCCTAATTTAGCAGTGATAGATTAGAGGGAAGGCAACTAGTCAACATCACCAATCACCAACTTTTGGATTATTCTTTTACCAACAAATGGTGGGATTGACTGTCACATTATGACGTCTCCATGACTGAAAGGGTGAGCATGATTGGTGACTAGGATTTGAACTCGCAACCCGAAGATTGCGGGTTGAGCGTCCTAACCACTAGGCCATGACATGAAATATGTATCTTGGTATATATATATATATATATATATATATATATA